CAAAAGGGCAAGAAGAACAAGAAGGATCGACACCGACCGGCCAACCTAGCTTTGGTCGCTGTGGCCGACCGAGCGGGCAAGCAGCCTCAGCAGGGCCAGCCCGACCACTTCGACAAGCTCATGGAGAGTCCATGCACCAACCACACCTATCCCATCAAACACCTCTACAAGGACTGCGAGCTCCTCAAGCACTTCCTACGGCAAGCCGCCAAGCCAAAGGAAGGGAAAGGCAAGGAGGAGGAGGCCACGAAAGGAGGTGCGACGGGCAAGGATGAAGACGGCTTCCCCGACCTCGAGGAATGCCTCGTGATCTTTGGGGTATCTGACGCTATCCACTCCAAGTGCCAGCATAAGGTACACTACAGAGAGGCATGTGTCGTCGAGTCGGCCATCCCCTCTTTCCTTAGCTGGTCGGACTCCCCGATCACTTTTGATCAAAGAGACCATCCTTCCCACATCGCCCGACTGGTTCGCTACCCGCTCGTCGTCGACCCCATCATCCACAAGAAGTGCCTCACCAAGGTGCTGATGGACGGAGGCAGCGACCTCAACATTCTCTACGTCGACACCCTCGACGCCATGCGCATCCCCCGGTTGGAGCTCCACTCAGTGAGCTCTCCCTTCCACGGTGTGATCCTAGCGGCGTAGGCGTATCCACTCAGGCAGATCGACCTGGCCGTCATGTTTGGTGACCGTGCCAACTTCCGCTCGGAGGTCCTAGCCTTTGAGGTAGTGTACTTTCTGGGGTCCTACCACGCCATCTTGGGGTGGCCATGCTACACCAAGTTCATGGTGATCCTCAGCTACACCTACCTCAAGCTGAAGATGCCAGGGCCGAACGGTGTCATCACCAAAGGTAGTACCTTCTCGCATGCCTACACGTGCGACCGCGAGCATTACGGGCTCGCCACTACCATCATCAACTCCGCCGAGCTCCCGGAGCTCGGGAATTCGGTGACTCCAGCAGTCCCCGACTGCAAATGGGCCAACCTCCTCGAGTGCCTTCTATCCAACTGAGGAAACCAAGGCGGTGGAGATCGACCCCACTGACCCGACCAAGATGGTGCGGATCGGTACCAAGCTCCCGGCCAAATAGGAAAGCGAGCTCGCCGAGTTCCTACACGCAAATCGTGATGTCTTCGCGTGAAAGCCTTCTGACCTGCTGGGCATACCGAGGAAGGTCGTCGAGCACGCACTACGCGTCATTCTATGCTCAAAGCCTGCCAAGCAACGCCTGCACTTTGACGACGAAAGGCGCAGGGCCATAGGCGAGGATATCGCCAAACTTCTAGCAGCCGGATTCATCAAAGAGGTATACCACTCCGACTGTCTAGCTAATCCTATTCTTGTGAAAAAAGAATGGGAAGTGGAGAATATGTGTTGACTATACTAGCCTCAATAAGGCGTGCCCAAAGGATCACTTCCCTTTACCACACATAGATCAGATAGTCGACTCCACCTCAGGGTGCAAAATCCTTTCCTTCTTGGATGACTACTCAGGCTACCACCAGATCGTGATGAAAGAGTTCGACCAGGTTGCGACTTCATTCATCACCCCGTATGGTTCGTACTATTACGAAACCATACCTTTTGGTCTAAAGAACGCTGGCGCCACCTATCAACGGTGGATGCAGCAATGCTTCACCGACCAAATCGACCTACCCGACCAACCTAACCAAGTCGAGTGGCTGAAACCAACAATCGCCGTCTATGTAGATGACGTAGTGGTGAAAACGGCTCAAGCTAGCGACCTGATCGCAAACTTAGCCGCAACATTCACGAACCTCCGAAGGTTCAACGTCAAATTGAATCCCGAAAAAGTGTTTTCGAGGTTCCGAAGGGGAAGCTGCTCGGATACATCGTGTTCGAGCGCGGCATCGAAGCCAACCTTGAAAAAATCACGGCCATCTCCAACAAGGGCCCGGTACGCAACGTCAAGAGTGTACAGAGGCTCACCGGCTGTTTGACCGCCCTGAGCCGGTTCATCTCCTGACTAGGCGAACGAGGGATGTCTCTCTACAAACTTCACCAGACCTCCCCATGGAAGCTGGGCACCCATATCCACTATGCGTGCCTCCGAAGCTTTTGCCAGTCCTCCACATGGAGGCTGGGCGCCTAAATCCTAATCAGTTACCCTGCGCAGTACAACAAACCGAGGAGGAAAAACACCGAAGTTCCAATAACAGCCCGCCTCCACGGCACGATGGGTACAAGAATTACAAAGCAAATTCAAGCTTTTATTAAGCTAAAAATACAAGCCCCTCCTTTTACAAATATCACGCGAAACGTGTGTGAATAGCCCTTCACGGCTTCATAGAAGTCCCAAAGGGGCTCGGGGCTCTCTGTCGAGTTCATAAACTCGGGTCCCCAATGAACCCGTTTCCCTACAAAACCCGACCTAGCAAGCGGCGCAGCGACAAAGACGCTACCGGGCCAAATAGATACATAATGATAGGCCAAGACAATGATCCGGTCCCCGACCGGAAGGCCTAGCCAAGGTGGGACCGCAATCCGACTCCGACCCCCTTCTTCGACCGAGGATACGTCGAACCTCAGCTCGTTGCTCTTTCCCAACCGATACGGTCGGGACCGACTGGGAACGATTGACCGGGGACGCCCGCTCGGTGTGGGCCCGGAGAGTAGGCAGAGCAGATAAGGTAAGGCGCTTAAGTCAACCACAATACCGAGGACTGTACCCTGCCATGCCCTGCGCACCTGCAGGACGGTGCCATCAGGGCATGTCAGACGAACACGGTAGAGCCTGCCAGATGCGTCAGAGTATAAACAGTATTATGGGCGCCGTCGTTTGCCGTACCAAGCGAACATTGTAGAGCCTGCCATATGTGTCTAGTCATAAACAGTATTGTGGGCGCCGACGGCCATCCCATACCCGATGGTGTGGGCAACAAGACTAGGCAACATACGTATACACATACTCTCTCTTTTTCTCTGACTTGTAAGGCTATCCCCTTGAACTATAAAAGGGGATGAGCTCTCTCCTAAAAGCCCCCCGAAGACTAGTCGACTCGACAACTCAATAGCTCTAGGACTCGACAGCTACATAGTCTCCACGCTCTCAACGGCTGATAAGCTCGGACACACAGAGCATACGTTCTGATACTTAGTGCACGTTTGAGCATCCGTCACTCTCTTCCACTCGGTTCAGAGTCCGACCGGGCCTCTAACACCCCCTTCTCATTCCTTACTCATTTGTAACCCCACAGCAAACTTCGAGCACATGGGCTCAGGAATAAAGTCACCGACCGATCTCAACTGGGCGTAGGTCCTGTTGCCTGAACCAGTATAAATCCTGTGTCATTGAGTGCTAGGCCACATCCGATTACAACGTACGGTAAAATTATAAATATTTACTTATTAGTGACTTTTCGCACCGACACTTCTTGTCGTGCCAGCGCTGCCTTGGCCTCGACCTCTCTCGAGATTGAGGAGTGAGAGTCGCTCTTGTCGTCGACGTAGTAGTGTCCGCTTGTGCGGTGTGCGACCACAATGAGCGTGAGGCTTGTGGCACCCGGAAGGCTAGAGGAAGGCGCGGGCGATAAGGTGTCCTCGCACGAGTTTTATCTTTGATTTCTTGATGCGTGGGGATGCTGAGAGTGGATAAGGTGAGAAAGACAAGAGCAAAAAAAATCTTTTTGCGTACTACCTCGGTCCGCAAAAGAATACAATTCTAGCACAGTGTCACGTTTTAATACCTTATGTTTGACTAATTATAGATAAAAAATATTCATATTTATGATACCAAATAAATACCATCAGATTAATTACGAAATGTATTTTCATAATAAATTAATTTAATTATATAACTGTGAATATTATTCACTAAAAATTTGGTTAAAAACGAACCACTTTTCGTGGCACGCAACACATAGTTATAGGGCCTGTTCGCTTGGAGGAATTCTGGAGTAATTTAGATGGTTTGGAAGAATGCTGGAGAAATCTACGAGAGGAAAACACTGTTCCGGATGAAAAAAGAAGCACATCAAGCCGGGGCCATATTCTTTTTAGGACGTAACCGGATTTAAGGGCACTGAACGCGCGAACGGGGCCATATTCTTTTTAGGACGTAACTAGATTAGAGCAGTAATTGAAAAACCACTAGCTAGATACCCACCTAACAGTCAGTTGGTCTATTAACCGAACCGAACCCGTTGGATCCACTCCCGGCTATTTTTAGCGGCTACTTCTTGACTATTAGCTAGCTAGATCCAAAGTGGCCCTAGGTTAAAGAAAACACTTTTCCTAAAAAAAACATGTGCATGAAATCTATATTTGGTTCAGGTGACAACATGATCCTTTGATCATGCTTCAAGATTCGTATACCATTATGTTAATTCAAGTCATAATTTTGTAATTGTCTTACTATAGAAAGAATTGTTTATTGTTAATTGTCTTTCTGAGATCATAATTTTGTAATTGTCTTATTATAGAAAGAATTGTTTATTGTTAGTTGTCTCTGTGTCAATTTAGATCCATTAGATCTTCATTTGATGGCTCACAGCAGTTGCCTGAATAGATGTTATTGTCTCACTGCAAGTTTATTAGCCAGCGTGCTAAAGAACTGTCTGTTCATTTCTGGAATGCCTGGATTGCCGTACGGCTGGGGGGAAGTCATTGGGGATTCTGGTCTACCGGCAAACGAGAGGTGTGCGACGATAATGCATAGCACTACGCCAGTATACATTGATTCCATCCGATCAAATTAAACCTTGTCTTTGTTTAATTTGTTCCCTTGTCTTCAAATTAAACCTTGTCTTCCGATTATACATAGAGACAGACCTTGCACTTCCTAGCAACGGAGTAGAACAGTAATTGGTTGTTTTCTAAGCGGATTGATTGCAGAGACAAGAGAAGAACTGATGCTAGCAAGCATCAGGATTCAGGGAGGCGTATCACGTCGGTCTCATGCATTCCGCCGGATGATCAGAACAAGGCTGATTGATAATCAGGTGATGCAGCCGCCAGTGGAGACGATGATGTAGCTAGGTGGTGGTCGGCGTGCCGGCATCGCTCCTGCTCTCCGTGGGGCTGTACAGCGCCGACCGCGGGTGGAGGTTCTTGGGGCGGCTCTCCTCCAGCTGCCGCACCACCTCCGCCATGCTCGGCCTCGCCGCCGCCACCGGCGCGCAGCAGCCCATCGCCAGCTTCAGCGCCTGCACCAGCCCCTCCTCCGCCGGACTCACCCGCAGCCCCTTCACCACCTCCGCGTCCAGCACCTCCTCCAGCGCCGTCTCCTCCAGCACCGCCACCTTCACCACCGACGGCAGGTCCATCGCCCTTCCATTTCCGGTTCCACCTGCAGAAGACGACGACGGCTTCCTCCCCATCAGCAGCTCCAGCAGCAGGATCCCGAACGCGTACACGTCCGTGCGCGCGCTGCACTTCTTCATGGAGTGCAGCTCCGGTGCCTTGTAGCCGTCCGCCTTGGCCGCCGCCAGCACCGCCTCCGCCGCCGCCGGCACCAGCAGCCGGTCCACGGCGTACTCCGCCAGGCGCGCCACGAAGAGGTCGTCCACCACCACGTTGGACGAGCGCAAGTTCCCGTGCGCCTCGCCCTGCCCCGCGTGCAGGTACGCCAGCGCGCGCGCCGCGCCCAGCGCGATCTTGTGCCGCCGCGCCCAGGTGAGCGCCGGCCGCCCCGCCGCGGGCTCGCCGCCCGCCGCCGTGCAGGAGCTCCTGCAACGTCCTGCTGCGGGGAAGTAGTCGTACACCAGCAGCTTCTCGCCGCGCCTCCCCTGGTAGAAGGCCCTGAGCGGCACCAGGTTGTCGTGGCGCGCGCGGCCGATGCGGCGCACCACGGGCGCGCACGACGCGGCGTCCTTGCACCTGCCCTCTCGCAGCAGCCGCAGCTCGATGCTGCCGCCGCCGCTCGCCAGTTTCGCCTTGTACACCGTGCAGTAGCTGGCCTTGTCCACCACCTGCCCCGTCGCGTTGAGCACCTCCTCCAGCGTGAGGTGCTCGCCGCCCTCGAAGACCACGAGCCTGCCCTCCGACGACGACGCGTCCTGGCCGTCGTCGGCCGACGACTCGAGCATCTCGTCCCGCTCCGCGTCGTCGCGCCTCCTGATCCTGCCGTCCCGCCTCCACCTCCCCTGCGCCCAGCCGATGGACACGGAGGCAAGGACGACGGCGCCGGCCATGAGGCCGATGACCATCCCGGCGACGCCGCGGGAGCTGAGGCCCGAGGCCGTCACGCACTGGCGCAGCGGCGGGCCGCACAGCGACGGGTCGTTGCCTAGGAAGGAGTCCGCCGTGAAGCGGGAGCCCGCGAAGGCCGGGGACAGCTGGCCGGAGAAGTTGTTGTAGGGAGACGTTGAGCGCCTGGAGCTGCTGCTGGGTCGCCATCCCGGCGAGGGCCTCCGGTATGGGCCCCTCCAAGCGGTTGGCGCCAAGGTCGAGGCGCTAGAGGCCTCGGAACGCGGTGAGGAACGCAGGGAAGCCGCCGGAGAAGCGGTTGGCGCCGAGGTCAAGGACGCGGAGGCGGTCGCAGGTGGTGTTGGGCCCGGCCGGCGCCGGGACGGCCCCCGTGAGGGCGTTGCCGTGGAGGCGGAGCTCGGTGACGCGGTCGCAGAGGTTCCATATGGAGGTGGGCAGGTCCCCGTCGAGGCGGTTCCCGGCGAGGTCGAGCGCGGAGAGCGACGGCGCGTTGCCGAGCTCGAGCGGGACGGGGCCCGAGAGGGCGTTGGCGGCGAGGTAGACGGAGTCGAGCGCGGAGAAGGCGCCGAGGTCCGGCGGGAGGCGACCGGCGAGCGCGGCGGCGGGGAGGCGGATGGAGACGAGGAGGAGAGCGGGGTCGGAGGCGAGGGACAGGTTGCGGGAGGAGGAGGCGGCGTCGCAAGCGAGCTGCGCGTTGGGCCGCTGGCCCTGCAGCGCGGGCTTCACCTTGGTGAGGAGCAGCGCGACGTCGGGGTTGGAGGTGGGCGAGGCCAGCGGCAGCGCGGCGGCCAAGCAGAGGAGGAGGAAGGGCAGGCAAGGATGCATCGAATCGGCCGGCCGGGGGTCCTCGAGGAAGGTCTGAAGGACTGTAGAGTGTAGAGGCTAGCTGCTCGTGTAGCGAGGAGCGAGGTGGGAGTGAAGTACAAGGAGAGTTTGATTCGAGGAAGAGAGGCAAATATGCAATGGCAATGGGTAAAATGGGCTTGGCCGCTTGGGTTGGGTCCCTCACTTTGCGTTGCGTCTCTCCTCCTGTGGCCATGCCGCAGCAGCAGCAACACGACACGAAGATAAGAAGGGACGTACAGGAACAAAGGCAGATGTGAAATGGAAACTGGGATGCACTGCATATTTTGCATACAGTAGCACAATGCGAGTATACGGCCAAACTTTACTACTAGGAGCTAGGAGTTGGGAGTACGTGTGCACGGTAGATTTGAAATCGAGCGAAGAGTAGCACGTACGCCGAATACGTACTACACGTACGTACGTCCGCGCGCGTGAGTGGCAGGGACAGTGACAGTGACAGTGAAGTGTGCCGGGCCAGCCTGGCTGCCTGCCTACTATTGTGTGTGAGTGAGAGCCGGTGTTCAGTGAGCAAACGACCGAGTGTCAGTTTAGTTCTAAAATTTTACAAAAATTTTCAAGATTTCTCGTCACATCGAATCTTTGACGCATATATGAAGCATTAAATATAAATAAAAAATAAAACTAATTACACAGTTTAGACGAAATTCACGAGACGAATCTTTTAAGCCTAATTAAACTATGATTAGACATTAATTGTCAAATAACAATAAAAGTGCTAGAGTATCATTTAAAAAAATTCGTCAACTACACGAGGCCTAGCGAGGTCCAGCTGAAGCTGCAGTTTACAGAGGGAGGGATAGGACCATTTCTTTCCTCCCATCAGGCCGTTTCTTGAGCGGCAAGTTCTAATCACACCGTACTCGACACACCGTACCATTTGTAACAAGCGCCACGGTAGTGGGTTAGGAGCCTACAAGGTCAGAAAAAGCACATTTGGTAACAAAGCGCCGAGCGACCATTTCTTTCCTCCCATCAGGCAGTTTGATCGGCTGGGAGCGGCTGGCAGGGCTGGCTGGCCAGCACTCTCACATAAATATTGTTCACGCGAACCAGTCAGTAGTATTTTTCTCTCACGTAAATGAATCAGCAACGATACGAACCAGTCAACCAAACAGGCTCATACGAGCGGCGACGGGACAGGTAACATTTCCCACCTCACTTAACGAAACACGTGCTAATGCACGCTTTCAGAAAAAAAAACATGTGAGCGGCAAGAAGTATGGCTCCACTAATCAACGAGAGCAAATTTCATGCATAACGTTTTGCAGGGCAATTTTTTTGTCATAATAACTTTGTAATATATCTTCTTCATATAACTTTATAGGCAACTTCTCCTGATAGCATTTCTACGTGACATTTGAAACCAAACTTTTGTTCACAACTATTAGCGAATAAATTTATCATAACAAAATTCCCAGCATAGCGTTTATATCACAACTTTTATATAAATTTTGGTTGTTTAACATATTTAATACATACAACTTATCTATATAACTTTCTTATTTAATTTGTTTTACGACAATTTTTTCAATCTGAAAAGTTTGTTCATGGTATATATAAGAAAAATAGGTAGTGTCGGTTCAGAAAGCGACCAACATGTAAATATTTGTATTTTTGTTGTACGTTTTGATCGGAGGTGGCCTAGCACTCAATAACACAGGGTTTATACTGGTTCAGACAACGTGCCCTACGTCCAGTTTGAGTCGGTCGGTGACTTTATTCCTGAGCTAAGGTGCTCGAAGTTTGCTGTGGGGTTACTAACGGAAGGGAGAAAGATTGGGGTACAAAAGGTCCGGTCGGACTCTGGTCTGAAGGGCCGAGAGTGACAGGAGCCCCGCTACGTGCTAGTGTTCGAGCGTGTGCTTGTAGTTTGAACCTGGTGGTTCTGTTGTTGTGTACTAATAAACTGATTGATCCTCTTTATTGGAAGAGAGCTCATCTCCTTTTATAGATGAAGGGGATGGCCTTACAAGTGAGATGGAGAGAATACGTATGCTGCTAAGTCTTGCTGCCCACGCCGGCAGGTACAAGATGATGGTAGGCATCCACAATATTGTTTATTGTCAGATGCACATAGGAGGTTGCGTCGTCTTCTTTAGGTATAGCAGACGTCGGTGCCTGCCACACTGTTGATACCTAGAGGCATGCAAGGGGTCTTACCATATTCACCTGGTACGGTAAATGTCGGCGCCCACAATACTGTTGATGCCTCAGAGGCACGTGGGGGGAGCCTTACCGTATTTGTCTGGTATGAGAGTTGATGGCGCCCACAACACTATATAGGAAAATGTCGGCGCCTACAACACTGCTTCGGTTCTGTCATGCCAGGGAGGTTGCACGGTACTGTCCTGCAGGTGTACATGGTACGGTCCTTGGTATTGCGGTTGACTTGAGTGCCCTGCCTTACTTTCTCTGTCCGTTTCCTGGTCCCTACCGAGCGGGCATCCCCGGTCGGTCGGTCCCAGTCGGCTCTGATTGCGCCAGTCGGAGAGGAGCTGTAAGCAGGGGTTCGGCGCATTCCCGGTCGGAGAAGCGGGTCGGGGTCAGAAGTGGTGTTTTGGCCAGGCCTTCGGATCGGAGAGGTCGTCCGGAGGTGGGCTGGTGACAGAAGCGAGCGCTGTTCCTCCTAGCCTTCCGGTCGGAGAGGCGGGCCAGAGTCAGAAGCGGGCGTCGTTTCTCCTCGGCCAGGCCTTCCGTTCGGAGATTGGATTATCCTTCTGACCTGTCGTTTAGGTGCTTGGGCCGGCCCAAGACTTCTGGCCTGGTCAGAGATTACATTGTCTATCGGGCCGAGCCTTTGTTGGGAAGCTCGTCTATGAGGGACCCCAGGTTTATGAACCCGACAGGAGCCCCCGAGCCCCCGAGCGATTCGGGTAGAATCGTCTGGGGGGTTTCGTGTTGCCAGCGGGGGAAGTTTTGTTTTGACGGTGGGTGCGCGCGAGCGCACCCGCTGGTGTAGCCCCTGAGCCCCCGGGCGATTCGTGCAGGATCGCCTGGGGGTTTTGTCAGCGGACGTGTGTGCGTGCATTTTAGTCGAGACAGAGTCGTCAACCAAGGCGTCGTGTGCAGCCGAGGCAGTTTTTTTGGATCCTGGCGTCGGTGCAGCCCACGCAGCCGAGGCAGTTAGTTTAGAGATCGGGCGAGATGGAGCTCGTGGATCCTGGCGTCGGTGCAGCCCACGTAGCCGAGGCAGTTAGTTTAGGGATCGGGCGAGATGGAGCTCGCGGATCCTGGTGTCGGTGCAGCCCACGTAGCCAAGGCAGTTAGTTTAGGGATCGGGCGAGACGGAGCTCGCGGATCCTGGTGTCGGTGCAGCCCGCGCAGCCGAGATAGTTAGTTTAGGTGTCTTGAGCCCCTAAGCCCTGTTTGGGCTTGATAGGGGTTGGTTGACTTTTGTGCGTTATCCCGTCCGTGGTTTCTCGCAACCGGAGGGGCTGAGCTAACGTCACTTGCCTCGATCGCTCAGGCTCGAGTGACGCGCTCGGTGAGCTCGCTAACTGGTATGATCGAGTGGAATCCGGGTCTGTCGTTCATCACGGGGTTGGCATAGCCCTCTTGTGACATTCCACTGCTCCTTAACCTACAACCCGGCAGATGCCTGGGAAATTCTAGAGACCGACCCGGGTGGCCCGCTGGCCTCCCCTCGATGGAGATTCTGTGGGTTTAGCAGAGGTTTAGGATCGAACGAGAAGGTTGAGATGACCCTGTCTGCTTCAGGGCAGACTGGGCGAGGGCCGCTCGGGGCTCATCTGTGTTTTCTCCCCTGGCTCTGTTTAACGTGAGACGACCTTGAGCCCTTCGTGGGCCGGCCTTCGAGCCCCGGTCGGTCGTCGCTCATGTTGAATGAGGCAACTGCCGCTTCGTGTCGCAACGCGGAGCGTTATGTTGCATTTGACTAGATACGAAATGCTTTAGCCCCCGAGCCCCTGGGCGATTCGGGTAGAATCGTCCGGGGGCATGGGTGTATAGAATGAATGCGTGTATGGATGTATGAATGATTATATAAGAAATAGTGGGGGTTGGTAATGTTATCTTGATGACTCAAGTGATGGGGTTTGAAGAGCTCCAATCTGAAATGTCTGACCGGGATCCATGCTCGTCGTTCGTGATGGAGTTCGCATGGCCCACATGGGGCGTTCCTTTGCTCCTTACCTATCTCTCGGTGTTTTCCTGAGCCGTTCGATTGATTTTAGGAAGCCCGATGGTCTCTCCTGGCGGAGACCCCGTTGTTTGGGCCTTTCCCAGTCCCGCCTAGGAAGGCAGAGGGTCGCCTGTGTGTGGTGGCGCTTTGGTTCTTGCGCCCGACGTGCGGTAGTGGTGGGACATACCCAGGCCACGTCCCGTCTGACCAGGCGTCGTTCCGTCGATCAGTGTGCGTCCCATCGGTCAGGGCGCGTCCCATCGTTTCCCATTCGCAATGAATGGAGGAAGGGAGAGAATTTTTTGCTCCAATCCTTTGCCCTTCTTCAGCTGCTACATTTCCTCCTTAAATAGGGGAAGGGAGAGGGCTTCTTGTCGTAGTCCTTTGCCTATTCTCCAACTATTGCCTCTCCTCCTTCCTTCTCACCAAGAGTGCCTGTATGCCGCGGTGGTTCCTAAGTGAGAGAGAGGGTAAGCGAGGGGGAGAACTCATAGATCCCTTCATGAATCCAAAGTGTAATGTCGAGTTGGAGGCTTCCCGAGGCGGTGCTGGCCGTCTTTGCCTAAGAAGGGGCGGCTTCCATCGAAGGAGGTGGCGCGCTGGATTATCTACGAGGCCTTTTTCGAGATGGAACCGTGCGTGGACTCTTTCCGGTGGATCTTCACCAGGCGAGCCTTGTCAGAGGAGAAGTTGCCCAGGACCGTGCTGGTGGAGGGTTTTGTGCCTCGGCGGGCAACGTCCCTGCCCAGGAGCTGCCTCGACTTCATGAGAAGGTCAAGAGCTCCATGCTCTTCCGCTGAGCATCTATGGGTGCGAC